AGGGGATATATATATATATATATATATATATATATATATATATATATATCCCCAGTAGTCTCCCTATAACCCAGAAAGGAGTCCTTTGATAAATGCTGCTCTGGATTAATTTTTTTTCTAAATTTATTAAGGTAAAACTGACTTAATAATAAGCTGATTGATTTAAAATGTACAATTTGATGAGTTATATATAAACACCTGTGAAACTACCGCTATATTTGAAATAGTATATCCATCACGGCCAACTTTCCTCATGCTCCTTCATAATCTCTCCTTTCTTCTCACCACATCTGGCGAACCACTGATCTGTTTTCTGTCACTATAGACTAATCTGAATTTTCAAGATTTTTTGGGGGGAGCAGGCAGGGAGAGAACTTGAACAAAGGGTCTCGCCACACTCTCTTATCACTGATGAACACGCCAGCCCCATGCATTTTCTAGAATTTTATATAAATGGAATCATACAATGTCTAAACTTTTTGACTCAGCATAATTATTTTGAAGTTTACCAGCATTAAGTTCTAAAGCAAATTAGTAGAAATCCTCTTAGCATTTCATTTGTCCTCCCTTGTTCCCTATAGAAGTTTGCTTACATTTTCAGCTCAATCACTGAAGTCACTAGATTCTCCAGAAAGAATAAAAATATATCATAAAGCTCCATTCACCACTAGAGAGAAACACTTTCCCAAGGGAGGGCTTTCATAGCTACCATAAACCACAACATTGTCACCAACTTCAAGCTACTCCCCATTAAAAAAAGCAACAAAAACAGACAGTGGTTACAAGATCTTAAATTCTTTATCTTAAGCAAGCTAAAAAAGCAAAGAAGAGAACTTTGTAGCTATTTGTCCTTCAGAAAGATTGGGTCTCTTCCTGAAGGAGAGTAGTATTTTCATTTCTATCTGTTATTTGGGTTCAGTCACTCTACCATCTCCCAATAATACAGAGTTATCTACCATGCAGGAGTGGCCACTCTTTATCATTTTCACTACTTGGGAAATGCTGTAATGAAGCCAGTGGTTCTCTAAACATACACTAAGAAACAGAAGTTGATGTTCTATACATGCTTTCATAGATGCACGTCTTCAACTGGTAAAATCAAATATGCTTAGTTACAACAAGAGGTTTGGTAGAAGTTTCTCCTTACATAGGTTACTGACTATACTTTAATCTTAAATAGTTCTTTCCCTCCTTTAAGATAAAACAGTAAACCCTCCCAGATGTCATATGTATTCTAGTATGGCTCTAGAAACAGCAATACTTCAAAAAAACTGTCATACCAGACATATTTCTGACCTTCAAATAAGTTTAAAGGTTAAGACTTCCCTTAAGAAACACAGATAGCCTCATCCAACACAAGTAAGACAGTCTGCAAGATTACTATTTTGTCCACCTTGTGGCAGCTCCTGAGAAGCTGTTTGGAGTCTTAAGTTTGCATAGGTTTAGAAAACTTCTCTTTAAATGGAGCAAAGAGTCATTCATGCAACATAAAGTAATAAAGCTGAATTTAAAGATAAGAAATATTGGAAGAAACTGACTAAAAAAAAAAAAATGGCTCATGCCAGGTACAGTAGTGCACACCTGTAATTGCAGCAACTTGGGAGAAGGAGGCAGGAGATTGAAAAGTTCAAGGCCAACCTAGGCAGCTTAGCAAGACCCTATCTCAAAATAAATAAAAAAAAAGAGCTGGAATATAGCTTAGTGGTAGAACACCTCTGGATTCAATCCCCAGTACCAAAATGAAAAAAGAAAAGAAAAAGAAAACATTTCGTAGAACGGTATGCTCTTATAGTCCCAGCACTAAGAGGCTGAGGGGGAGAATCACCTGAGCCTAGGAGTTTAAGACTAGTCTAGGCAACATAGCAAGAGCCTGTCTCAAAAAAAAAAGGCAAGAAAAGAGAGAGAGAGAAAGAGGTCAATATTAATTAATTCAACAGCTATAGGCATCTAAAAAGTTATAAACTATAGCTTTTTTTGATTATTGGTTGTACAGTGGACTTTGTTTATGCACATATGTATGGATGATGAATGGGTTTATTTACTACCATCCTCCTATCCTAAAAGATAAATCATGCCACAATTCTCTTTAGTTTGGAATACTAGTAAAACTCAGCATACGCCTTGCCACCTTTAGAGCTAGGAAACATTGGTAAAGATAACAATTAGAACTCTTAGATATGACCTCATGCAATCTCCCCCTATTCTACAAAGAAGAGCTCTTTTCTGCAACTTCCTGAGAGGCCTAATAACCTCTCCTAGAAAACTCTTGGGTCAGAATCATGTTTCTATTTCTGAAATAGTCCCATCTGTTATATAGTTGCTCCCTTCAGTAAGTTATCAGCTGCTTCAATCTTGATCCTAAATCAGTTTTTTTAAATCTCACAAATTAAGTTTACTTTTTTTATACCACATGATAGACCCTCAACATTTTTCCTTTCCAGGTTTAAATTAGCCTCAAACAAATTTCTCTGTCAGAAAAAGAAGGTTATATGGAAAAATGTAAAGCAGCTAACTACTTCTTTTTCTAGGATGGAACTAAATACAAAATCAGAATGACAACTTTGTAGCTCTTCTTCACCTGTTGGCCAGGAAGGGATCATTACATGAACACTAGAAATAATTTTGGTGTCCAAGCACTATTTCTCAGCCAAAAAAACTAGGAAAGCAAATAGATAAATGATAAATGATCTTTCACAACAGCCGCCTGTGGAATATGGTTACATATTCAAACTCAAGTTTTAAGGATCCATATAGTTTCCTTCATTCGTTGAAGATATAGGAAAATTTGAGTTTTAGATTCTTTTTCTTTCTTTTTTGGTACTGAGGATTAAACCCAAAGGCCCTCTACCCCTGAGCTCTATTCCCAGTCCATTTTATTTTATTTTGTGATAGGTCTAAATTGCTGAGGCTGGCCTGGAACTTGTGATCCACTTGCCTCAGCCTAGCAAGTTGTTAAGATTACAGTTGTGCATCACCACACCTGGCTACATAGCTACATCCTCACCCTCACTCTTTTTTATTTTTTACTGCGACAAGGTCTCACTATGTTGCTGAGGCTGCACTTGAATTTATTTATTTATTTAAAATTTTTTTGGGTAGTTGTAGATGGACTGAAACCTTTATTTATTTATTTAAAAAAATTTTAAGTTGTTGATGGATCTTTATTTTATTTATTTTTATGTGGTGCTGAGGATCGAACCCAGAGCCTCACACATTCTAGGCAAGCACTTTGTCACTGAGCTATAGTGCCAGCCCCTGGCCTTGAATTTATAATCCTCCTTTCTCAGCCTCCCAAGTTGCTGGGATTACAAGTGTGCACCACTGCACCCAACCTAGCTCCACATTTCTTTTGGTGTTTGCCTTCTTCTGTGGACACATGATCAGGGAAGGTGACCTTACCCTAGAGCCTTGGGGGACAAAGCTTAATTATATGAACCAATTATGATAATTCTGTTCCCTTTTTGTGGCTGGTTTTAGAAGGAACAAGTGACTCAATCATCACTAGTGAGACATGAGGGGACTTTGCTGGGTGGGCGGCTTCAAGGAAAAGCTTCCTAGAAAGGCTTCCCACTATATTTAAAGTTTTTTTTTTAAAAAAAAAAAAAGCATCCTCTGCTGAAGGTGATCTTGGGTGCAAATGATGCTGGGACTGTGGCAGCTGCCAACAAATGGGGGATGAGAAAGCAGAAGAAATAAGCCTACATATTTTTGTTTTGTTTTTGTAGATGGAGCATGCCTATATTTTACTTATTTTTACGTGGTATTAAGGAATGAACCCAGTGCCTCAAATGTGCTAGGCAAGCGCTCTGCCACTGACCTCCAGCTCCAGCTCCAAGCCTACATTCTTAATTCTATGATGCAGACACTAAATTAGTCGACCCAGATCCTTCCTATCTCTGGACCTCTTGATATATGAGGTGATAAATCTTATCATTTAAGCTATTATTTTTTAAGCTGAGTTTATTATCTCAGCACCCTGAGTGATAGTCACAAAAGATGTATTAACAGAGTGGACTATCTAAAAAGACAGGGAAGAATAGTTTTATAAATAGAAGTATCTGACAGGGAGAGAGAGAATATTGATGATGATGATAATAATAATAATAATAATAATAATAATAATAATAATCAGCTAAAACTTGATTGCTCACATTGTACCAACCACTATCCTAAAGTACTTTAAGCATCTCATTATTATCAGCATCACAATTTTATAAATAAACCAAGGCACAGAAAGTAAATAATTTGCTTAAGGTCATACAACTGGTATATCCCAGAGACAAAACTCAAACCCAGGAAATATGACTTGCTTTGGTACTTGCTTTCTCTCACTAATGGATTAGATGGTCAAAGACCAGAGAGGAAGATGAAAAGTCCACTGAAGATACAAAAGGAACCATGGGATATCATAATTGGAAGGGTACTTAGAAGTTTTCTCATTTAACTCCAGCATTCCTCAGCCACAGTCTTTCATAACTAGGTTCTTGAATCATTACTAACTCTGAAAAATGGTTGTCTTGGACCTGTTTGTATACCTCCAGTAAATGGAGTTTTCACCTCCAGAAATCAATAATTCCTTTTAGGAATACTCTGTAAAAAGGCAAAAATTCATCTCCATATTATTTGTTCCCACTGGCCCCAGTTTAGCTTTCCGTGCCAGTTTTA